CTATAACAGTATTAGCAGTATCTGTGACATTGTCAGCAATAGAAATTACATATATTTTTGTATCTCATCACAGTTGGCAAAAATATCTAGAAATATTACTTATGTTCATTACTGCTTCAAAAGTATAGGGGTTATTAAACCTAACATTATAACTTATTATTTTAATATATTAATAAAGAAGCACACTTTATTAATATTTCATAAATGTGACTTTTGAAATATTTTGAGAACTAAATCTCAGTATAATTGATTTTATTTCTAATCCTTTGTGCTTTATGTTCTGCAACTAGATTTTTTTTAAGAAAGCTATCCTAGATTTTACCAGATTGCCAAATGATTCAAAATACCCAAAAGAAAAACAAACACAAAAAACAACAGCAACAACAAAAAAATTCAAGAGGCCCCACAAATGGCACTTACTTTGTTGTATTCTAATTTACAAGACTGTTTTATTCACTCTCCTTTGGGGGTGAGGACAATTTTCATTCACTTTTATATCCTCATAACTAATAGAGTTTATAGTTTATAGTAGTACTGAAAAAGTGTTGACTTAGCAATAGACTAAAAGAATGAAAAATTACCTGTCACAAAGATATCCTAAACAGAGGGCAGCATTTCTTAAAGTGTGATCATAGACCCTTTAAATCACAGTCACCAAGATGCTTGTTAAAATGCATATCCCTGGACCCTATCCCAGATCTTTTCAATCTGAATCTCTAGGAATGTAGCCTTGGATCTGCATTCATAATAAACTTCTCCAGAGATTCTTTTACATAATAATATTTAGAACCTGTACAATAGGATGCATGAGGCACAGTGGCCTTTAAATAAATAAATAAAAACATGACTTTTTACAAATAATTTCAACTCCCTGGACTTCATTCCTCTCCCATGCAAATGGCCACACCTCAATATTGTGTGAGTTCTAAAGTCTTTCTGTGTCACAGAAGGAAGGCAAAGGCTAACTACTTCTTTAGGACAAAGAATGAAAATTCTTTAGGCATATGCTCATATTTATTTGGTCCTCTGGGGTACATGGTACCTGCTGCTTGTTGCCTGATTCCAGAAAATAGACCAACTACTCTGATCTACCTGTCTTGTGAAATACTCAAAATGTTTTCCAGACATCAGTTCTCTTTTCTTCAGTTCCTCTGTCAGAGCAAGGCAGTTTTTAATCTGTTTTTCAGAGATGAGCTAGAGAAAGTATTAAACATAACACACACTCACATTAACTTCTTGCTTTGCTACACCAGGTACCTAAAGGAAAAAAATATTTCTTTATCCATATGAGGGAGACTTTGATTTTTATCATGAAGTCTACTGATAAATTGAAAACTTTCAATACAGAAACAATGTGTTGGGAATATTTTCATCCTATATGGTGTGTTATAGTATTTTATACATAGTAGAACTTTAATAATTTTTATTTGAAAAAATGAATGCTATTTTGAATCAATAATGATAGCTAATAAATATTAAGTATATGGGTACCAGCACTGTTCTAATTACTGTTCAATGTATTTAATAACCCTATGACAATTTTACTTATTACCCACTTTCCAGAGTGAGAGGCTAAGAGAAGCTAAGTATCTTACTCAAGGTCACATCACTAGTAAGTGTAGAGTCAAGATACGAACCCTGACAGACTGTCTCCAGAGCCAGTTAGTATTCTTGTTTTCAATACTAAATGATGTACTCTTTATTGTTTTAACAGAAAATTACAATGATCCATATTTAACTGAAGAATAGTTTCCTTCTGAAGTTAATGTTGAAAGCCCATTCCAGTGTGTTGTCCTGGCCTTTTCAATGTTAAAAGGTTCTTTGGTGCTTATTTGAAACAGATGCAAACACTTAAAACATCCATTCACATTGCGTTTCCCTGAGATTTGCTAGAATATGTCAGGTTGCCTCCAGGAGACCCATTTCTAAGTGACTGTCTGATTTCATTTGTCTTTCTACTCCCTTTACAAACCTGCAACTTCATGAGTCTGCTAAAGCATGGTTGGCCAGAGGTTTATTAGCATCTCTTGCCAACATTCTGTCTGTTGTAGAAAGCTTTAGGGAAGCCATGAGAAGAAACTGGGTGGATTTTTTCAAAGCACAATTTCTTCAACTAAGCCTATTGGCAAGACACGATGACAGGATAATGGTAGTTCAAAGTTTATTCTCACATACTTTTAACTTCAGGAATTATTAGTCGGGAGTTATTTAAAAGCCTTTGCCTTTCAAATGGTTTGCTTTTGTTCTAAGTTATTGTTCTTTAGTAAATTTGAGATTAAATTGACATTCTATTTTCACAATTTTGACTTTTAACTCTTTATTTTTATGGTTTGCTTAACTCTTTTGATTATTTCACTGTTATATTTTATAATTGTGCATGCAGAGTGACAGGTGTGAGGAAATGCCACTATGAGCCCTCAGCATGGGACAGTTCTGTCTCTTGTCCCTTAGGATAGATTAATGACAGTACCATTAATGTGCTTTATTTCTTTCTATGGTAACAGGAATGATTTTGCAGGAGTGTTTTGGTTAGTCAAAATTTCTGATTAAAAAAATATAACATCATGGATTTTAGAGAATCAAAACATAATGAAAATATACTTTGTACCAATCAAAAGATATCTTTTTTGATTATTTAAAAGGCCTTTTATCATCTTGCTTTTTGTCAAAGTTATCTTCATGTTTATCAGTTAAATCATATTTGGGAAATGTTTGTGGTAACAACTAAAGAAGATACATTTGGAATATACTTAGATTTGCTGAAATTATGTTTTTGAGACATTTGAACTGAGAGTGGAGAACATTCTCTCTCTCACAATGAAGCTTTAGTCTACTTCCATCCCAAAGCTCCAAAATTGTAGAAGAAATCTAGGGAAAACCTCCTTCCTATAATGAAATCCTTCTGATATTTTTGCACCTGTGTCCCTTAAATGGTAACTATACCCTTTTATTACATAGTATCTTTTGTTTATTTTTATCACTATATTTGTACATTGTCTTGAAATTTCCTGTTTATGTATTCCTCTAGGGCTGAGACTTACTCCTCTCTGTATCTTCTCTTCTGACCTGACTGGCAAAACAAATCTTCAGCATTCCAACATGTTTGGTTAATGCTGAAGAAACAAATTGTAATATTTAATTTGGGTGCTCTTGAAAAAGTTTAAGGTGACATTGCTTATTTATAGAGTTTAATTTTCAGTATTAAATACAAATAGTGTCATGGCAGCTTTGGAGTTTTTGTAACACTCAGTTTCTTTTATTATGTAGATGAGTGTCTATCTGAGGTTTTTCTTTTTGTTAGTCTGGTTCATTGTTATGGTATGAAGTACCAGTTCATTTTTTAAGGATGCTTATGACCTTGTTAAAGAGCAGTCCAAAAATTGTATGGCTTGTTTTGATTTTAACCAAAGTTACAGCTGCCTAGCTGTAAAGCAGTCAGTTTCTCTTATTATGACTAGTTCTTCAACTTGTACTGTTTTAAATTGCCTGCAATTAGCATATTTCAACCTTATTTTTAGGTTTAAATTGCAGTGTGAGAGTGTACTCTCCTCTTAGCTAATTAGTGCTATCAAGGAACAGTAGGTTACCTCATTAGTACCATGTGCATTTAATTAAAGAAGAGAAAATTGGAGTTAACCTCATAGTTAATATTTTCACAGAGTGCTACAATGCCAACACCTTCAATTGGAGTCACACCCCTGTGTATCTAATTATTCACTGGTGCCAAATAAGGTTAGTAGGGTACTACAAGGCTGTTGACAAAATAATTTAGATGAAAATGTGTTTGTTGGATTCTGACAGTAAAATATAACTTGAACATTTTCCTCCCAGTCTTCATCTGCCAGCATCAGGTGACATACCTCTTCATAAGAAACAGAAGGAAAGGACATTTTGGAAGCCATTTTTCTTGTTTGAATTAACGTTACTCTTATCTTGAAGAAAATGGCATATAGTCATGTAAAGTATATACAATCCATTTCTTAAACAGGGCCTCTGAACTCCATAGATGTATTTGAGAAGAATTATTTATAAGATGTAATATTTACATGCGTCAAACCACTACAAATACTCCCTGACACCTTTAACACGTCCCTCCTTGCTTTTCTTCTTTTCTGGTATAGTTATAATTTCCCTTGTGGATCTTATGAATGGGGATCATCCTTTCATATCATACATGAAGTCTAAGAATGTGTTGTCACATGGTATATTCAAATGCAGTGTAATCCTTTTGCCCTTCAGACAAAATCTTTGAAATTTCTAATGCTACTTAGGTAAAAAATGACATTCCATGTCATTTATCAATAAATAATCACTTTGCTTTTATACATAAAAATGCAAGCTATACATTTGAGTACATTGAGTAGTTTTCAATGCAAATGGCACAATTCAACAGGTTTTAACAGATATTGTGGAGCTTGGCTCCATAGTCTTAGATATATTTTAATGGTAATAATTGTGATAATGTAATGCATAGCCAAAACAGTTTATTTAAAGAGATTATTGAGATTATTCTCACATTATATGAAAGGACAAGATTTATATTTATTTGTATTGGTTATAATTGATTACAAGTCAGAGGTTAGCTGTTTCAAAATTATTTAAGATAATTAAGTTTGAAGGACAAATAACATCTTATACATTAAAATTGCATTGCCATTTGAATATAGAGGAACATTTATGAATATTGGCCATAAATTTAGTTAAAAAGTGTGACGTGAGGTTCCTAAAGCAAGATCATGGTACAAAATCAGTGAATTTGTTGGTTGTTGGTTAATTTACTGTGATTCAAATATTCATCTACACATCTGGCATATTATTCCTATTTTTAAAATCCATAGTAGTATTAACTGTGAGATGAAGATGGAATAATCTTATTTATATTGACCTACCAATACAATAATCCCAAAAAAATAATTTTTAAAAATGATAATGTACATTATTAACATAAGCCTTAAGGTTGGAAAAAAAAGCCAACTCCTGATTCTCTTTGTTTAACCTAGGAATTGCTTCCAGAAACAAAATTATGTGTCTGTGGCCACTCTTCTGGTGATGGGCATCCTCACAACACATTTGCAGTAAGTTTCATTGGACAATAGAAATTCAGCTACTAAGGACAAGGCCATGGACTCAATCCCACTAAATAAATTATCTGTGATTTTCTATAGCCAATCCTTTCCATTGGTACAGATAATCAAGATATGAGTACTGTTAAGATACAGATGTGATTAGCTGGTTTTCTGTTACTTCTTTTGTTCCTACTTCAATTATATTTCATCAGGTATACAGTGCACAGTTTCTGTGAGTTGATGGTATAAAGGGCTACTTTAAATATATAAAGGCTGTAGCACCACTACCCTTTTCTTGAGCTTTAAGGAATAATTTGATAAGTAAGTACTGATATGCAGAAAATAAGTGGATAGAGTTTATGGATTGATCCAATACATATTTTAAGGAAAAGTTGCTATTCCATGTTCTACAGGTTGCCATATAAATATGCCAATGCCTTTTTTTTAATATATTCTACCACTAGAGTGTAACTTGTCTTTTTGGACCATAATATTTGGTGAAAATTGCTTTTGTGACCCTATTCACAAGCCAGTTAGCCTTCAGGATTATAGATAATAATCCTGAAGTGTCAGTTCAAAAATTTTTAAATAGTACAACTTCATATTTATATTTAGCATAGATTCTACCTGTATTCTTAAGAAATCTCTAAGTATGTAAAGTCATATATTTTCATATGCAGTTGGCTCTCTGTATTCGGGGATTCTGCATCCGTGGATTCAACCAACCATGAATCAAAAATATTCAGAAAAAAATGGATGGTTGCATCTGTACTGAACGTATGCAGAATTTTTTTTCTTGTCATTCCCTAAACAATAGAGTATAACAACTATTTACATAGCATTTATGTTGTAGTAGGTATTCTAAGTAATCTAGAGATGATTTAAAGTATATGGAAGTATGTGCATAGGTGATATGCAATACTATGCCATTCTATATAAGGAACTTGAACATCCCTAGATTTTGGTATCCATAGAGGTCCTAGACCAATCTCTCATGGATACCAAGGGATGACTATACAGAAGTTTTGTTTGTTTTCTTAAGAATTGATGTACTTATTTAGTATCAATGGCTAGAGTATTCCTAAATTGACTCACAAAATTTATGTTTTTTACTACTCTATACATACCATTTTCTAATTATAATTGATAGAACATAACACAAGGCATAAACAAATAATCAGTGTCTTCCTGAATGAAGAAGAAATATCTAATTCCATCCTTTGGTTAAAAAGAAACCTAAAGAAAAAGAAAAGAAAACGGTGTCAGGCCAGGCCTGGTGGCTCAGGCCTATAATCCTAGCACTTTGGGAGGCCAAGCAGGGTGGATCACTTGAGACCAGCCTGAGCAACATAGCAAGACTCCATCTCTACAAAAAAAATAAGAAAATTAGCAGGGCACGGTGGCATGCACCAATACTCTCAGCTAATCAAGAGGCTGAGGGAGAAAGATCCCTTGAACCCCAGGAGTTTGAGGTTGCAATGGGCTATCATGATGCTGCCGCACTCCAGCCTGGTCAACAGGGCGAGACCATGTGTTTGAAAAAAGAAATTATGAAATTAATATGGAACATTTATGGAAAATATGAAATTCTTTTTAAATGTTAGACATACTACAAAAATAAACTCAGAAATTGAAGCATCAATAATGTGCTATTCTGTGGAAATAATGAATGCAGAGGATTGTTAACATGTTAATTTTATATATGCATGTTTCAGGATGATCTGAAATTATCTGGTTTGGGGCTCATTCATTTTAATCCTTAAGTATTTGGTCATCCTGAGCTTTCTGTGTAATATTTGAAAAAAATAGCAAAAAATTAAGAGTGGTGCTAAGTTTTACTGAAGTGATATAATTAAATTTATGCAAAGTTTAAAATAATCTTAATTTCTAAGTATTCTCTCTAAGTCTAAAGGAATAAAAATGTAAACTTCAAATATGATTATATACTTTAATAAAGAAGATTAATTAAAAATACACTTTTAAAAATAGTAAATTAAAAATGGGGCAGTATTCCTAATTTTAGCACTTTTTCCTAAAAGAATCTTAATGGAAAAAAGTGTTTCATTAGACTGAAGAGTGAGCTGGATAAACTACTAATAGTGTTTGCTCTTTATCTAAAACTACTTCTATCATTTAAAATATTCTCTCTTCTATTGATGAGAAAAGAAATTTATGGTATCAGATCTTTATATTCTCACTGACATATTTTCAGAGTGAAAAATGAGACAAGGAGAAATTAAATGATTCACCAGAGGCCATATTATTCCTCAGTGGTAAGGCTGAATTTATAGACCAAGTTTGTGATCACCAGTGTATTGGTCTTTCCAAAAGCATGCCAGATTGTTCACAACTGCCTTGAGTGCTATGTTGAATAAGAATCTGAGGTTCTTCTATGTTTATAATACTGTATCCCACCTTTCAGGATGAGGTGCAGGTACTCTACATCCTGAAGGAGTACCAGAATGGGTTAGTGAGATCTGATATGGCTGGTGAGGAAGGAGGAGCATGACAGTTTGCCATATCTGCAGTGCACCAACTTCATACTTCAAATTAGTCATTGAGTGGCCTTATTCTTGGGGTTTCTTGGCCTCACAACACACAAGGGAAACATTATTTAAATATTATTAAGTAGGTACTTATTTTCCATTATTGATTACATTAAATACAAACATTTTGCAAGCTGAAATGGCTATATAATATGATTTCAAATCAAGACACAAACTAAAACAAATATATTATCTATTATAGTTGGCAGTTTCTATGTGATGGGCATGGTTCTTTTCTAGTATTCATTAAATTGTTAAAGTACCAATATGTCAAAGTGGTCATCTAAGTCTGGAGCATCATAACATTACTGTTAGGCAAAAAAAAAAGGAGGAAAGGTGTAGAAAGGATAGATATGGATACCTAAAGCCAGCCACATTCCTTTATCATCTGTGTAACTGACATTTATAATAAATAGTGAATCATTGTACGTAATAGTTCTCAAATTTTTAAGAGACACTACATAATGCCTGTCAATGGGTTAATTTAATATTACACATTATTTACATGGTTAGTCAACCTTCACACACACACATGCCAAAATCTCAGGCATGTTCCAAACTGGAAGATTATGATAATTTTTACTCTTTCTCCACCTCTACCTCATTTAAAAAAATAAAAATTCTTTATTAACAAGGCTGAAGTAAAGTGCTATAAATTGCAGAGGTTGGAGGGAAGCTACTTACAGCTAACCAAATGTAGGTTAAAGTCCAAATTACCTTAAAGGAATAATTTTACATGTTTGTTATTAAACAGATATCAAAAACTCTCCATAGTACCATCCACTTTCAGATATTAATTGTATTTTAAGTTACTAACAAAACATACAGTTATAATGTATTTCATAGGGATATTGTGTGGTGTTTTGGTTTATTGATGACCATCAAAGATGAGCTATCCTCTGAGTGTTGTACCTTCCTATTATCACATTGTTGAACAGTAGTGATATTTTTAATGTATCCAATAAAAAGTTATACTTATTGTGCCCTACCAATTCATTGCATTACTACACAGTAATTGTACCCACTTATATTATCTTTACCTGAAAATTGTAACCTTAAATTCTACTTGTTATATTTAGAAGAAATATTTGGGCTCCGTAAGTTGAACATTTGATATTCTAAGAGTAGCAATATAATACTCTTGTTGCAACTTTGAATTGCATGGGGAAAAACATTAATTTCTAGCATTAAAGACAAGAATATAAAAGTAAGAGAGCTTCACTGTGAGAGATTACTTTACAATGCTTGCTTTTCACATTCATTTTTTTTCAAATGGTATCTATCTTAATGTGAAAAAAATCTTCACTTATTTTACTAGTCTTTCAAACTTTAGTACTGGGATGGATACCTTTCTTTTTTTTTTTTCCTGACATGTCAAACAGCTTTTCAAATGGCTAATTCTGCCAAGATCCTAAATTTCACAATCTTTGAATTCCCTACCACAAGATAGTAACCCATGTTCACAACTCTATAACTCTACCCTTTTGACACCTCATCTGTCTGAATGACCTCATTAACACCTATTTGCAAATAATCTTATTGTTAGTCTTGCCTACAGGTTTTTACACCTAAGTGAATACTATTTTACATAGGATTCTGCCTGTGAGCTCTAACTGCTAAGGCAATTATGTTGAATGCTTAGGGTCTTTGTCTTTTGGCTGTTATAATATTTTTAAAACCTTTAGCATTGGGACAAATGAATCTTTTGATAAACAAAATATTTTGGATGTATAATCTGAATATGAAATTTCATTGGCTTGGGTCCAGCTGCTTTATATTCCATTCAAATTAAATTACATTGACCACATTTAATCTTTCCCTCACAGGTCTTTAATCTGTTATGATTGCCTCCTGAATGTTTCTTTTTGATGGGGATTCTGGATTGAAGGAAATAAGAAAAAGAGGATAGTGATGATTTTTAAGACTCCTTTTTTATCTGTTCCAAATCTATCTGTCTCTTTAGACTTTACATAAATTCTACCTAGCACCAAATAATCCATCCTTTGGGCTCTGGAATCAGCTCTTGGATTTGAATATTGGGCATATTACTTGACTTTTCTTAGCCTCATGCTCTCAGTCTGTAAAATTAGAACAATAATAGTATCTACCTTGTAGGGTGGTAATGTTTGATAACTCTAAAAAATACTCAGCATGATGATAGCACACAAGAAGTATGCAATGAATATTGAGTCAGTATCTATATCAATATCAGTATACTATACTCTTGTTTGGACTAAAGAGGCAATTCTGTTTGGTGTATATTTAAATATATATTAAACATTTAGTATTAACACTAATAGAGGCATTGGACATTGTATAAGCTTGAGTCATAGCCAAGATAGATAGATGGAAGTGTTCCCCACTGAGAGGAAAGTCTTTATGCTCATTAATTTAATGTGAATACTAACTTACTCACAAAAATCAGTGTTATACAAATGCTTTCTCATTTGTTAAGTGTAAGAT